ACTGTAGAATTCTAAATTACAGCCCCCTGTACGATGGGACTAAAAAATTCTGAGTTGGGCTGATCAGTCATTCTTCCGGAAAAAAAAAACGTTCCAACAATCTCCCAATATGATCTGGCAGTGCACTGAAACTGGGACCCATCGAATCATTTTGGGAGGGTGTTGGAACGCCTTTTATGATTGATACAATGTATGGATCAAAAATTTGTCCAAAGAGTTGGGGGCCCAATGACCCAATTCAATTGGCAGAACAGGAACAGGATTGATCACATTGGACTGGCATGTGATAGACAACGTATACGGATCTGTGGTGGTTGCTGTAGAGAGACCAAATCCGCCCCCACAAGATTGCCCCCGACAACGTCCCACATTGGCAGATGTTCCCAATGATGACATCTTGTGGGGGGGGAACATCTCCCAATGATAATCTCAAAAATAATGATAATGATATCATCATTGGCAGATGTTCCCAATAAACAATGGAGATGTGTTGTGGGGGGACGGGGCTGATTTGAACTCTGCTGTAGACAAGTAGAACTCCACATTTTTTAATAGTTGGCTTTTGTTAGGTTTTTGGCTTTTCCATCTATCGTTAATCATTCAGTATTTATACATATATGTACCATTAAGGGTTGCACGTCAAATTTTCAATTAATTTTTTTATTTTTTTTAAATTTCAATTCAATTACAGTCAATAATTATAAAAATGAATAACAAATTCACTATTATTCTAAATAAATGAATGGCAATCCTTATGTATGTGAATGACTCCATGGCCCAATGGATAAGGCGCTGGTCTACGGAACCAGAGATTCTGGGTTCGATCCCCAGTGGAGTCGTTTTGCCTGTTCCCTAAAATCAGAGCCTGTTTGTTTTTTGGATTTTTAGAGGGGGAGAAAGTTGGTCAATCAGACTTTGRTTCTCATTGATCAAAGCTTTCCTGAGTATCACTTATCCCAGGTGGGTGACTCTTTCACCTCGGTTAAAAGTTGTCAATACTTTGATGGGATAATATTACCCCTTTTAATAATAGATGTTTTTTTTATTAAATAAACTTGTTTTGAAAAATATTTCTTAAGAAACACTTACTCGAAACAAATATATTTATACAGATAAGTAACTTTTCAAAAA